CGGTGTGGGCGCCCGCGGCGGCGCGCAGCAGAGCGGCCTCGGAGTCACGCGTGCGGAAGGCCAGCGAGAGGCCGCTGAGCAAGCGCCCCGACGACGCGTTGTGCCCGCTGAAAGCGACGGCGGGGCCCTCGCGGAACGTGGCTTCGGCCACACCTGCGGGGAGAGGGAGCGTCAGGGAATGGCCCAGCGACCTCCACCCGGGCCCAAGCACCCGGGTGAGACACCTGCCTTCCCCACTGCCCCTGCCCATCTCGAGGGGTCACACACACCGGCCTGTCATCTAATCCCAGGAACTACCCTCCCCTCCGGCTGTGGCTTCCACCCACTCATAATTCTGTACCTCGGAGAACCAGCTTCCGGTCGTGCTGGGGACATCTGCCCCTACCCTACCATGGCCCACCCTACCCTCCAGGTCACAGACCAGGCAATAGTTATGCCTCAAAAAATCTGCCCCCTTCCCTCCTCAGTGTACTGGCTCTGGCTCATCACTGAGGCTATTCACTGCAGCATCTTTTTTAAACGCAGATTTTTAAATGCTGATCATGCATTTTAATAAAATGCAGTCATCTCTTTAAAATGCTGATCATGGGGCGCCTGGGTGGTGCAGTCGGTTGAGCGTCCGACTTCAGCCAGGTCACGATCTCGCGGTCTGGGAGTTCGAGCCCCGCGTCAGGCTCTGGGCTGATGGCTCAGAGCCTGGAGCCTGTTTCCGATTCTGTGTCTCCCTCTCTCTCTGCCCCTCCCCCGTTCGTGCTCTGTCTCTCTCTGTCCCAAAAATAAATAAACGTTGAAAAAAAAAAATTAAAAAAAAAAATTAAAAAAAAAAATAAAATAAAATGCTGATCATGTCCTTCTCCTGCTTAAAACGGCCCCATGGCTCCCCACGACCCTTGGGAACAAGTCCTGAGCTGCCTGGCCTAGCTTTCAAGGCCCCCCCTGGCAATAGCTCCACCCCTACACCTGTAACTATGTTTCACTTGTTCTTATAAACCCCAGGGCCTTTGCGGTGCTATTGTCCTTCCCTAAAATGTCCTCCCCTATGCCCAGTCTTGCCCTTGGAAACCTGGTCAATGCTGTCTTCCTCCAGAAAACCTGTCCCTCTGCATGCAGTGGCCTAACCATGCTGGGCTGGGGGTGTTGGCATCCTGGTCCACTATGTGCCCTCAGGGTAAGAGTGGGCTCTAACTCAGCTTGGGTGTCCAGGATCCAGCATGTGGTCTGCCCACGGTACACACTCACAGACAAAGCCATCGGGGACCTCCTCGCAGGTGGCAGGCGGGAGGCAGGGCTGGCCAGGACACCACAGCTGCTGGGCACATGTTGGCCCCGTGAAGTTGACAGGGCAGGTGCAGTGGAAGTCATTCCAGGTGACGAGACACATTCCACCATTGAGACAGGGGTCAGGCTGAAGAAGAATCAGGGCAGGGATTGGCTCAGGCCTGGGGGCTATCACCACCCCTCCATAACCACTACAGACACATTAACTCCTCACAGACAATTAGAGAGGATGTCACCATTGTCCCTATTTTACAGATCAAGAGACTGAGGCTCAGAGAGGAGAAGCCACTTGCCTGACTCACCCAGCCAGTAAATAGAGGAGCCAGAGTTCACACTCCATCTATTCCAAGGCTGGTGCTTTGTTCATGGACCCAGGGATGTCCCTGTCCCCCAGGTAGCTCCTACAGAAAGGCTCAGCCAGCCCTCTGCCTGGGCCCGGGTGTCTGTCTCAGACCAAGACTGGGGAGGGAGGTATGGGGACCACCAGAGGGCAAGAGCAGCTGGGCCAGAGAGAATAATGTGAATCCAGTCTCTAGCAGCGGTGACCTGGACACAGTGCTTCACCTCCTGCCATTTTCCTCACCAGTAGAAGGGGATGCTAACCCCCCGTGATGCACGACAGACCCTGGAGAAAGGGACCCACCCCTTTCCCCAGGGAACTCACACTGCATGTGTCCTCGGAGACGCAGCCCATGGTGAGGTTCCGGGACTGCCTGCTGCCCAGCTCACCGGGCTGGCTTGAGTTCCCCGGCAGCGGCGTAAAGAATGGGAGGTGGAGGCCATTGAGTCGCAGGTCCTGGAGGCAGCCTCGGAAGGGCCCACCCCAGGGCTGGGCGTCCGCAGGGAGGAGCCTCCCACCCACGTGCACCTCCTGCCCCAAGCCCTGCAGCTGGTCAGGCCCGAAGCTGAGCGTCACCAGGTGGCGGAGCCCATCATCCCAGCGCCCAGGGAGCACCAGAGCGGGCCCGCCCAGCACCTCAGCCTGGATCTGGCCCTTGCTCAGGAATACTGTTAGCCCAGCTACTGAGTCATTGGCAAGTTGGAGCAGCAGGCCAGCAGGTTCCCGAGTACGGAGGAGGAAGGACACGGTGAGGTTGGGGCCTGGCAGCTGGTGGAGCAAGAAGGAGGCAGAGCTCAGGGTGCCCCCCAAGCCAAAGGTGGCAGCAGGAACCTCTGCGGGGAGAGAGGGTATCAGGTGAGAGGCCTGTGAGCGAGGGGAAGGCATACTGTCTGCCCCAGGGTCCCCCGGGCTTATTCCTCACCATCAGCACATGTAGGACCACTGTAGGGCCGGGGGCATTTGCAGTGGAAGTGAGTCCACAGGTCCACGCAGGCCCCTCCATGGGCACAAGGCGGAGGCTGACACTGTTCACGGCGCTCGCAGCCCAGGAGGACATTCTTGCCGAGATCCTCAGGCAGCAGGAGGTGACCGTCCACACGCACGTCCTGGAGGCAGCCTTCGAAGGCTGTGCCACCCAGCTGGGCGGAGCAGAACCTGGCAGGCGTCGGGGCCGCGGAAGCCACAGGAGCTGGGGCCACAGGACTGGAAGCCACACACAGCCGGGCAGGGCAGTCCTCATGCCAGAGCCGCAGCTCCAGGACCCCCGGGCGGAGCGAAATCTCGGCTTGGTGCCAGTGGCCATCATTTAGGGCCAGGTCCAGCGGCCCCAGGGGAAGCACGGTGGCGTTGCCATGGCTCCAGAGTGTGGCCTGAAGCGTGCCCCCCGCCAGTGCCAGCTCCAAGCTGTCCTGAGTGTCAGTGCGAGTGGCCAAGGCACCGGCAGGTAGTGTGGTGCGAAACCTCAGTGCCAGACCCGGGGGACCTCCAGCTGGCACCGAGGCCCGCACAGGGCTCCCAGCCACCACAGAGAAGGTGGTGTTCTGGCCACAAAAAGGTCCGTGGGTACCAGGTGGGCAGCGGCAGGCATAGCTATGGAGCCCAGACTTGAAGATGGGGATGCAGGTGGCAGCAGGTGGGCAAGTGTGGCCCTGGCAGCCGGTGAGCCGCACAGAGCAGTCGTGCCCGCCCCAGGTCTCCGGGCACCAGCAGGTATAGCCTGCCACGGTGTTATCACAGGTCCCGCCATGGAGGCAGGGCTCCGACAGGCATTCGTCCACATCTTCCTGACACGTCAGGCCTTCAGGAGAGACCAGGCCAAGGTTCAGCACTCAAGGCAAGAACCACAATCTTGATGCAGAACTTACACACCTTTTGGGACAGGGATCTCAGCACCTGTCAACCAAACCAATTCCTAATTCCCAAAAGATTTCTCATGGTCTCCTGAAGTCCCTGGAGGCTGGTATCTAAGATGCCCCTTCCCTTACCATGTCTGGTGGGCCTCCATGCCCCGTGGATTCAATCCCCTAAGCACTCTCTGTCCCCCCCCGCCACCTTTCCCCTACTCCACCCGTCTGCCTCATCAGCTCTGAGGGCCACAGTCTAGTGTCCTCTACTTTGCCTGCCTTCAACCACCCCTACCATCCATCTCCTGGCCCGGCCAGATTCCCCTGCTGCTTAAGGTTCACTCACTCACCTTGGCATTCCACATCCCTCGGGGGCTGGGCCCTCCCAGGCCCTCAAGTCTCAACCCTGCTCCCCACACACCTCCAACTGCCTGTTCCTCCAGGCATTTCCTGGACAGCATTTCTCTGGGGGCTTTGCTCATACTGTTCCCTGGAATGCCTCCGCCTCCTCCTCACTGACCCTGCCTTCAAACTCCTATTCACCCTGCAAAGCCCAAATTCAAAGGGTCAGTCCCCTAAGGGGCTTTTTCTCTGATTCCCAAGCTATTGTGTCACTCCCGACTCCTTGCCCACCCCCAGACACAGCTCCCCAGAACCCTGTACTGAAAGTATCTGTTTACTCAGCTGGGATCTCCTCCAGGGACCTGAATACGTCCTTGGTGCCCAGCAAGGGGTCTGGCACAGCTTTTGTGGACAGAGTGCCAGATGGAGGAGGGAGCGGGGGTGGGCAAATGCATCCAGTCTTCATCCCCCAGTCCCTCTGCCCCCAGGGCCCCATGCTGAAGGGGCCACATCACCCTCCCCTCCAAGAGCTCCCACACGAGGTGCTCTGGTCCCAGTTTGGGTCAAGAGACCACAGCCCAACCCCAACTCAGTCAGAGCCTCCATAAAACAACCAAGGCTGGCCCTTGACCCAACCCATATCCCAGCTGGAGGAGCCCAGGCCCAGAAAAGCCACCAGGATTTGAATCCTGGTCCCAGTCAGCCCACAGACACCACAGCCTCCTGGGGACAGCCGGCCACACCTCACCCTGTCCAAGGCCCTGCATACCTGCCAGGAGCCACAGGCCCCCCAGGAAGGTCCACAGAGCCCGCGGCCCCATTGCATTTTCCCATGGATGGCCGAGACTGGTGGGTGGGTGCTGAGCCCAGGGAGCAGAGCTCCCCGCCTGGCCAGCCGCCTCCTTCAGAACCGCCTCAGGAATGCCAGGCACTGGCCTCCCCCAGGCCAGCACGACCCAAAGGGAGGATGGGGGTGGACAGTGGCAAGCAGCACAGCCCTACAGCGGGGTTCCCCCGCCCCGTCCCTGACCTCAGACCTGACCTCCCTGTCACCCGTCCGCTGAGCTCAGCTTGGGGAGGAGCTGGGCTTTGGCTGACGCTGGTGAACCTCGGGAAATGACACCCCCTCTCTCAAGCATCCATTACTTCATGTGTAAGAACCCTACCTCACGGGGGTGGGGTGACAAGGAGGGAACGAAATGCACAGAAACGCTGTTCAGAGGCAGCATGTGCTGGGGGGGGGGGGGGGGGGGGCCAGTGTGTGCCAGGGGCCTGCAAGGCCACTGCTTGGGAATCTTGGCCCGCGGGGCACAGAAGACGGGCTTTCAGGGCACCCGGGGGTGGTGGCCACCCCGGGGGTAGGGGACATCGAGCCCAGCATCTCTGGGCAGCTGAGGTGGGAGGGACGGTAATCACCACCTCGTTCCCCTGGGCAGGGGAGCCAGTGCCCAGGAAACCTGCCAGGGAGAGGAGGCAGTGTGCCCAGGCAGGAATGTGGGCCGGTGTGGGGGAAGTGTCACAGGCATTCCAGAGGGGGCAGGGACACTCAGAGAGCGTGTGAGTTCTTTGGGTTCACCAGTATCTGCGCAAGGGTAACTGTGTGTCTACGCATCTGCGGTACCCAAGGCAGGGAGAGGCTTTCTGCAGCCCAACTCCTGCCCCATAGGCAGCAGCTCCCCAGAGGTCAAGTGGTGATGCCCCCCTTCACCTCTTCTGTCCTGGCCAAACTGCCGTCCTCTCCCTGCAGGCCCGTCGGCTTCTGCCCAGCCCTTGGATGCCAGGTGCCTAGAGTTCTCTCTGCGCATGACTGCACACATTCTCCCGGACAGCCTTGGCCACCCGTGGCCCCAGCTGCCACAATTGTACTCCTGACCCTCAGTCTCTGGCTTTTCCCAGGCCCCAGTCCCAGGACTGCCAACCCCCACCCAGGCTCCTCCCTATGGGTGCTCCACAGACACCCGGACTCAGAATGGACAAGGCTCACCCAACATCACCCAGGGCAGAAGCAGCCAGCATTCCTGACATCTCCCACTCACACCTGGACTAACCCCTAGGGCCGGCAGACTGTCCCTCCTAAGGGTTCTCAGTCCAATTAGTTTCCTCTACTTTCACCTCCAAAGCCCGGTCAGTCCCCACTCAGCCCCTCTTAGCTGTCACCTGGACCCCCACACCCGCCTTTTTCCTGATCTCCTCATCCCCATCAATCCAGCCTCCACATATCAGCCAGAAGAACCTTCTCACCCCAGGCCCACCAACTCTGCCCTGGCTCTGCCCCGGAGCCCAGCCCACCCCCAGGCACCTGTGTAGCCATCCGGACAGTGGCACTGGAAGCCATTGGGCAGGTCCTGGCAGCGGCCTCCACTGAGGCATGGCCGTGAGGCACACTCGTCCACATCCACGTCACATTCGTCCCCTGCAAGAGGGCCAGCCGCGGTTCCCACCTGTGCCCTCAGAACCAGACTAGAGTTGGAAGGGCCCATTTTAGAGCTATGGAGACTGAGACCCGGCAAGAAGTGCCGACTCAGGCAGGTGGCACCCTGTGTGGCAGGGCCAGGCCTGCATCCGGACACCGAGGGACCTGCTTCCCTTGAAGGGTGTAGGGGGACTCACCCTCAAAGCCCGGAGGGCAGCGGCATAGGAAACCCTCAGCGTGACGGAAGCTGAAGGTGCCGGGGAAGGCAGCCTGGACGCCTCCGTAGAGGGCTGGGTCTGAGCGCTGCAGGCACTGTCCCCCATGCCGGCAGGGGCCCGACGCACACTCGTCCTCGTCCACCTCGCACCGCTGGCCACTGTAGCCTGGAGGCACACGTGCGCGGGCAGCCCGTCACACGGTGTCACCGGGCCGCACCCCACCACTGGTGCCAGGCCAACCCGGGGCCAGGCTGGGACAACTCAGAATAGGGGCACCAACGGTGAGGGAGGGATGCAATGAGGAGGGTAGGCACGACCGTGGCAGCCCTCAACAGGGTCCTGTTACCATTATGAGCAGCACTAGTGAGCACTTTGCACCTGTCGAGGCTCCACGCGCATTACACCTTTCCCTACCTCGCAACAATGCTAGGAGCAGGTGCTGTGATGAGCCCTATTTGGCAGATTACTGCAAACCTTGACTTCAGAGAAGCTGCAGTCACCCGCACACCCTCGGAGGGCAGGTGAGAGCAGGCGCACACCGGCCCCACGGCCCGGGGCCGCGCCCGTGCGCCCCAGCACGCGCACGCACCTGGCCAGCAGAGGCAGCGGAAGGTCCCGAGGCCCTCGAGGCAGGACGCGTTGTTCGCGCAGGGAGCCGACGCGCACTCCAGAACCTCCTGCTCGCAGCGCGCGCCCTCGTAGCCCGTGTCCGCGCAGTCGCACCGGAACCTGGAGCGGGGAGCGAGGCCCAGCCGGCCCGGACTGAGCCCTACGGCACCTGGGGCCCACCTGCCTCCACCGCCTTCTCGCCCCGCGCAGCCCCCTCCCACGCCTCCGTCCGCTCACCCGTTGACCAGGTCGTGGCACCGGCCCCCGTGCGCGCACGGCTGGCTCTGGCACTCGTCCAGGTCCAGCTGGCAGCTCGCGCCCCCGTAGCCCGGCGCGCACACGCAGCGGTAGGAGCCCACGCCGTCCAGGCACGAGCCCCCATGCAGGCAGGGCCCCGAGGCACACTCGTCCACCTCCGTCTCGCAGGTCACCCCTGGACAGGGCCGAAGACACAGACAGACGGATGGACTCCCAGAGGGAGGTCGAAAGAGGCCCAGGCAGGCCGCCCTGAAACCAGCTCCAGACAGTTACAAGGAGCGGAAACTTGAGGCTCCGGAGAGAAGCCGTTGGTCCGTTCATCTAGAGCAGGTATTTCTTGAGCCAGCAGTGGCAATGGGGTAGAAACCACACAGACGTCCCTGTCTCCTGAGCCCACAGCGGTCTAGCCGGGGAGACGGTGATTGGGCCAGTATTATATAGATGAGGACTTTTAATTGTGATAAACTCGGCAAGGGAGCGTGCTGGATCCCAAAAAAGCAGGAGCCAGGGTTTTGGCCTTGGGTATTGGGAGTCAGGGAAGGCTTCTTGGAAGAAGAGCCTTTTGAAAGATGAGTGGCACGCGCTACATTGGGATGGGGCTGTGATGGCAGCTGGATTCCAGGGTGGGGAACTGGTCAGGAGTAGCTAAGGGCTGGGGCATGATGCCCTCAGGAAGGGGAGCATGGAGGGGCAGGAGCAAAGGAGAGAGGGGAAGAGGCGAGGCAGGGGTGGAGGTATTGGGGGCCCCAATCTGAGCTTATCCTAAAAGTTGGAAGCAGCTGAATCACCCGGTGCTGTGGACACTGTAGAAGGCTCACTCTGCTGGCTTTGAAGAGCGTGTAGAGAGGGCCTCCATGGTGGAGGGACGTGCCCCTGCGAGAAATGCTGGAGTGACCAGCCTCTCCTGGCTCCCCCTGTACCATCTTGCTTCGAAAACTGCAAGTCCTGGGTCCTGGGAACCCCCTCAGTCCGAGCCAAAACTGAGACAGTTGGCCAGGGACTGGGGATGTGTGGAGATAGAGGGAGATGGAGAATTTCAGGGTCTGGGGATGTGCCGCCTGAGTTCATCCGGGAGCCCACATGTCATGGTAGACTCCGGAGGCCCTGCCCCCTGCCCCCTGCCCCCTAAACGGGGTTGGTTCTGGGGGGCCAGGAGCCGAGCTGGTTCCAGCTGGAAACGTCCCCCCTTCCCAGCTCAGTGAGCACAAAGCACGGCCCCTCCTTCCCGTGACCCCCTCACTCCTCCCACCCCAGTCCCACTCCCACCCTCCCTGTGCCAGGGGGAGCCAGGCCCTGGCCGCCTGGAATCCCAGCCTCCCCCGCCTGGCTTGGAACGGAAGGAGGAGGAGAGAAATGAGTCATGGCAGACTCTGCCCCCACTCACATCCACAACTCAGCCAGAAAGTGTTCCCCCAAAGCGCCCAAGCACCGCACATCTGGCACACGCACACCTGCTAACACACCTACGTTTCCCACAAATACTTTCAGGGAGCCCAGACATCCCACAGGTGCTGGCAGACACACAGGCCCTTGGCGTGACCTCCCTCCCACACACACAACTGATACTCCAGACACCGAGGCTCTCAAGTGGTGAGAAAGACACATGGGACCCGTTTCCAAAGTGCCGAGATCCATCTCCCCTGGAACCCAGTCCCTCCGGCCTGTACCCCTTGCTCCGGGGTGACCTGAAACTGCCTTCTGCCCTCAGAGCACAGTTGTCTGAATTCAGGGCTGACATAGAACCAGCAGTGTCTATACTGCAGGCTCCCCACTGCGGTGTAGACTGCAGCACCAAACTGAACTCTAGAAGGGACTGAAATAACATTTGTGCAGTGTCTGTTAAACGTCAGGCACCATGCGCAATCACACGTTCGTACTCTCATCCCGAGCTGCCAGGTCAGCCCGAGAAGCATCAGTTCTGTAGCAAGACCCAGAGTGGATGTCTCTACACTAAAGTTGGAGCTGAATTCATGATTTGACACCCTGAGCCGCTGACGGGATGGACAGGATGGACATTACAGACCTCCTCCCAGGGCGGCTGAGGCTGTTACCTGCATAGCCAAGGGGGCAGTGGCACTCATAGCGATCAGCCAGGTTGCGACAGGTAGCCCCGTGGTGGCAGGGCCGGGATGCACACTCGTCAATGTCCAGCTCACAGCGTGGGCCCTGGAATCCGGGCACGCAGTAGCAGCGGAAGCCATTGGGATCTGGGCCCTGGGGCACACACAGAGCACCATGGTGGCATGGCTGGCTGGCACAGCCCCGGGGCTCCGTGGGCCCACAGGTGTAGCCACCATTCTCCATAGCCTGGCACTCGGCCCCTGGAGCGCACGGGTCTGAGGCACAGACACTTGGGGTCTCCGATGGCACCGTTCCTGCAAAGAGAGAAAGTTGGCTGGGTGGGGGGAGCCAGGACGTTCCCCTCCCCACAACTCAGGCGCACCCCAAAGCCGGAAAGCAGCATGGCTCTGTCTGTTTTCAGGAGGATAGAGGGAGGGCCAGGGACTCTACAAGCCACGCGCATCAGGAGGGTCTCCGTAGCAGAGAAATGGGACCCGGATGCCTGGCTACCCACCCCCACCCGGGCAGGATTAGAGGGCAGACACCCTCTGACTCTGGGAGCTTTGCGCTCCACTGTCTGACCCCCTCCCTGCAGGGGCCCTTTGGGGCAGGCTCTGTCATGCCCATTTTACAAAAGAACAAATTGAGGCTCAAGAAAAGTCTTTGCTTTAAAGACTCTTGCCTGAGGTCTCACAGCAAGTTAGCAAGTTAGCGCTGGGACGACCTTCAAGCCTGTCACATGTTTCAGCCCCCTGGAGGGAGGGGAGTCTGCTCTGGGTCTCCCTTCTGTGGCTCCTCTGTTTCCTGGGGGGGGGGGGGGGGGGGGGGTGTGTCCTCCCACTGTCCCCTCCACCTCTCTTGCTAGGGGTCTGGCAGCTCCATCCCCGTGTGAAACCGGAGATGAAGGACTTCAAAGGCAGGGACTGTGAGCTGGGCCCCTTCCCTGTCCCTCCTTCCCACCCTCTTCTTTCCCCTAGGGCCTAGAAACCTCTCAGGGGATCCCTGGCCCTCACTGTATCTCCCCTCAGCAACTGCCTGACCGCTGGCATGGCCAAGGTCACAGGGTACAGGACAGGTATTGAGACCTGCTGACAGACACCTGGCTCAGGCCACTGTGCTGCCTCCACCGTGTTAGAGGGTCACCTGCTGATCTAGAAGCCAAGTTACTGAGAGAGCCAGCTCCCTGCCCCCTGCCCCACCTGCCTGAGAGCCTGTAGTGCTGGATTAAGAGTTTAGTCTTTGACATGATTTCACTCATATGAGGAATTTAAGAAAAAAACAGATGAACATATGGAAAGGGGGGGTGGGGGGAGAGGGAAACAAACCATAAGAGACTCTTAATGATAGAGAACAA